TCTTTCTTTCTCACATTCCTGTATTCATCGTTCGACAAATCATACAAACAAGGATACTTTTTCACTATTTCTATCAATAGTTCCGTTTTTGTCATTGCGAATTTTTGAAGAACGGCGTCAAAAACGCGGTCAAAGGCGAACTGAAATACGCCGCAATAAAAACGCTGGAACAATCGCATTCGCTTCGCACAAGTCTGAGCCTGTCCGTAAACCGCCGCTTTTTTGATCTGATCGCGAATTCATCGCCGCGAAATTTTCGCAGCCAAAGCGAATATTTCGCGCCGGTTTGTGGGATGCTTAACTCGGAGCTACCCACCACCTGTCAATACCTGTCCAGTGCTCTAGAGTGTCATGCATCTGAGCTACTCATTTTTGAAATTACCTGCCTTAATTCGGTGTTATACGCTCCGAAATAGTGGGGACAACGAAAGTGACATTTGTGTCAAGATTGTTAGGTTATGTATTTTCATCGTTTTTGTTTTTTTGCACGGTAGAATGACAGCTGAGTATCTAGTTATATCTCAAAATTCTCCATATCGACACAGGAGACATAATCCTGACAGAGCCGAATTTTGTTTTAGTTTTTGTTCGTTACAGATTCATTTTGTTCTTACTAACAGCTCTTTTATTTATAAAAGTTCAAGTTCAACAAAACGCCACAAATAAGTTTTACTAGATTTATATCGGTTCCATTATCGCCAACGTTGCAGACATTAAAGCGTGATGGATACTCGTGAAATAGGGTGTATTGGTGTTGGTCGCGTTTTCGTGGGGACACAATTCTGACCTAAAAATATTGGGATAAAACAAACTTTTATCTTATATAACTGTACCAAGATTATGATGATGATATAATTCCACAAATTGAATTATAAAGTGTTGTTATTGTTTTTGTACTTTTTCGTGTTTTGCAACTTGTAGGTAAATATGTCTTGGGTTTGAATTTTGAATTTCACGGCCAAAGGGACCATGATTTTCACAAACTAAACTTCAGCCGACAGTACAAAATAATAGCGAGAAAACTACTTTCCGTATATAATTTCTTTTATCTGCGAAAATACTATCAAAAGTAAGGTTATTCGCACCAAAAAAAAAAGAAGAAAATAAATATGGTCTTGGCTGTGCCACTATTTTAAGGGTCCTGTACCTAATACCTAATAGTGGCATAATAATAATTACAAGTCTTATTTTTATTTTACTGCGCCTGCTCAGATGTCAACTACGGCCAGGAATTATAAGTACCTGGCTTTGTTGAAAGTTCAATAAAGACAGGCACGCAGTGGTGCGGTACTCAATTTACCCCGTTATGCCAGACTCTCTTGAGTATCTCTAGCCTCTTGACAATAAACTAAGCAGATGCCTGTGATACGTTGAAATATCCTGAGCATAATCGTTAATATTTATTACCTCGGTAAATTTCGTGAAATGTTTTGTATCTCGGCGAACTGAACTAATGCCTTAATGGGCAGAGGCCTAAGGACTAAACGGATCTGAAGATATAGGCCGTCCAAGTTAGTATAATGTGGTATCTGTCGATCGGTCCTTCTCGGCTATTTGATTTATGTGGAAAAGTGGTTTCGGTTAATTTCGCTAACATTGCATTGTACGCCACTGGATGGATATATACTGTAATCTCGAAATTTTTTGAAAATAAAATATTGTGTTTTTTGGATGTTATATGACATGTACATCACGAAAAAACGTCACTCATTTCCGTCGTTCTGGTGGTCTGTCTGTTTGTCTTTCCGCCCCTAATCCTTGGTCCGTTTGTAACTTGTGAAGTACTACTTGGATTTTGATGAAATTTTCACACAAGGTTGCTACTATTCCAAGGATGAAAAATCTTTATTGTTTTCGGAAATCGGAGAAAAAGGCCAAAAGCGAAAAAAAGTAAAAATCGCCCGAACTTCGTTTTTTGACGTTTCAGAGGATCCTGATCATTTACGGAATAAAGTTGTGAGCGTTGAAATTCTGGGATTGTAGGCATGGGGGAGGGTATATGATATTTTGTTGATCTGATGATAGGCTTCCAACACCAGTAATTCTAGGCATCGATTCGCCATATTGCACAAAGCATAGACTTAGAAATGTTTTCGATCCGCGTACTCCTATTTATCTAAGCTCGCCGGCCGGCGAACCGGTCCGACTCAACAATCCGTACTGCAGCACAAAAAACATATGCACGAAATGAAAGATAACTAGCCCCAGAAATGCCGCGCAGATGTGGAAAGGGACAACGTTGCCAGATGGACATTAACTAGCGCAGTAGGGCAGGAAAAGAATATCTATGGGCTCATTGTATGGACCTGTTTGACTGATTTAATCCTCTTAATTTATCTGTTCTGCATGTTCGTAGCTGACCAGCGACCAACTGATGATGGCGTTACGTACGAAGTGCACGGTCAACGTACTTGACGCCATTTATATAAATGTCATGCGCCTTAGCCTTCTTAACAAATCTCTTAATGGGCGCAGGCCCCGAAAATCAACGTATACCAAGATATAGGCCGTCTAAGTCAGTATAATGGGGTGTGGCTTTACTCAGTTATGTGCTCTATCTTGAAGAGTGGTTTCGGTTAATATGACTGAATTTCTGAAATCTCGCGTGTTTAAACATCTTTAACAAATGTCTGACAGGGCACAATTCAGAATAATGGGATATCGGTTCTTCTCAGTTATCTGCTATAGGTACATGGAAGAGTCGTTTCATTGAATTTTCCATATAGTTTATATGTCGACGTCGGCGGGCACAACCCTCCAAAAATCAACGGAGCCAGCAAGAGGGGGTATCGGTTCTACTTGACTTTTGGGGTTTGTATCCTTTGAGACATTTATTCAGTATGCCGAGGTACATAAAATTTCACAAATTGAGCCATATTTACCGAAACCACTCTTCTAGATAGAGCAGATAGCTGAGTAAAACCGATACCCCGATATACTGACTTGGACAGCCTATATCTTGGGACCCGTTGAGTTTTGGCGCCTGTGTCCTTCGAGTCATTTGTTTAGGACGACGAGACATATAATGTATAAAAAGCCAGCTCTCTTCCACTTTACGCAGGTATTGGAATAGAACCGATACCTATTACGAGTATACTCAAACAGCCAATGTATATCTTATGACCCACAGACCCAATCAATTTTTTGGGGTTTGTGCTCTTTGAAACATTTGCTCAGGATGCCGAGATACATAATTGAAGGGTAGTAATTTGACAATATAGATTACTGAGACAAGACAGGATGCTATTTTTGTTTTAAACGTGGAGCTAACCCCAAAATTTCAAAACCTTGTTAACCTTTTTACAGAAAAGTTTCTGTAATAATTGTATCGAAACTGGACCAGAAATGAATAGGTTTAGAATTGTACAGCCACAAAACGACAAGTGACCACAAAACCAGCAGAACTACAATCTACAATAAAAGGCCGCCTTGCCACACTGCATATACAACAAAAATCAGCACAACTGAATTTGTTTATAATACTGCCTGTTTCTTGCACTTACTTTTATCTGTAATCTAAAACTCATATTTCTATTGTATTGTAACCAATATTTTCTTTATAATTGGAATTATTATTATTAAGTTTATCTCACTTTACAAATGCCGGCGGTAATTATTGCGTTTACGAAGGAAAATATAACCTTACGAAATAAGCCCTCCTCTATTCTCCTTAACTAACGGAGCTTACTTATTTCGATAACGGATAACGGACAATTCTTTCGCTCCTGTGCAAAATCGAAATAAGGAAGAGCAGTAAAAACTCTCTGTCTGTTTGTTTTTTTTTTAATTTTCTTCAGACAAATTGTTTTTTTCATTCTTTACATAAATTAATTTGAGCACTCTTTCTCCCAAGCCAATTTTACGCTTTACGCGGATGATGCGGCAATCATATTGTCCAGCAAATCCAATCAAGTTTTAAAAGAAGACTGTGAACATTTATTAAACAGTGTTCATGATTGGTTTAGCGCACATCATCTTCACCTGAATGTGGAGAAGACGGCAATGATGAGATTTCACAACGTGCACAAACAAATGACTCCGCTTGATCTTCGATTTAAAGATAATCAACTAAGTGTTCTCAAAGAAACAAAATTCTTGGGCTTGTGGTTGGACGAATTTTTCAATTTCAAGGCCCAGTGTGATCGATTGGTATCCAGGTTCAACTCACAGTCATATGTGTATAAAGTTCTACGAGCCACATTGACTGGAGACCAGTTAGTAACACTCTATTATGCTCAGGTAGAGTCTAGGCTGAAATATGGTTTGTGCTTCTGGGGAGTATCGACCAATGCACAACATTTCTTTTTAAGTCAGAAAAGAATTCTAAGATCTATGGCCGGAGTAAGCTCATTACATAGCTGTAGGGAGCTGTTCCAAAAGTACCAAATTTTAACGTTGCCTTCTCTATTTGTATACGAACTTTCAATATATATGTATCAAAATAAGGATATATACTTAACAAGGATATAAATTCTTTCATAACAAGGCAGAGTGAAAATATGTATGTTCCTTTCGCCAAATACTGTGTCGGTAGTAGGTCACCTAGAGTTTTGGGGCCTAAAATATATAATAAACTGCCAGAAGAAATAAAAATCTGCAGTTCACTGCAACATTTTAAAAATAGGTTATAAAGGCTTTTTTATTAAATAAATGTTTGTACGCTGTTTCAGAGTTTGTTAATGTGTAGATGGTATGTTTGTTTCTCATATTTGTTTGTTACTTATTTTCCATGTTTGAAATAGATTTTTTATTTTTGACGAATCCTATGCATACTTATGTCTATTGGATAATAAAGGATTATTATTATGATTATTATTATAATAGTTCCATGTGCAACAAACTAAGAGAGACAATGGGACTAATTGCTAGTTCCAGAAATAAAAAAAGAGTTACGAGTATGCGATAATATGGTGACACGCACAATGTTCAACTCAGCTCCATTTGAAATAAATAAAAAACGAAATAAAACTCGTACGAAAATCAGACACATTTTATTTAGTTTGCACATATTATACAGGTATATCACCAAGAATAAATAAGTATAATAAATATTTTTATATCAACTAGTAGTAAAGACGATGGTCAGTATAGTCCGTTATTATCGTTGGACATATACTTCTGTGATATGACGCCTTCGATATGTCCCAGGGATGCCCTTAACATTATTAAATAAATTACAAATCGTATGAATAAATCTGACTTGTTTATTTCCTAAGTCCCCTTTTCCCCTTCAATCCTAGCAGTGAAGGTGTCTTCCTTTTGAGTCTCACTTTCTCCCAGTTGTAGACCGAAGGATCATCACCCATATCTTCTTCGAGCTTCATTAAATTCAATGGATTCTGAAACAGCTCTGGATCGTACTCATATCGCTCTGCAATTTCTGACCATGTAGGATCTAGAAAAAATGATTCGTTCAAAATGACAGATAATAAAAAACTGCATCATAGTATTCGTTGTAGTATCGGTACCTTTATGCTTGGTACACTGAGAAAACGTGGTTAATTAACCAGTTGTTCTTGAAAATGTACGTTACCCGAAATAACTTTTTCAATTACTATTTTTATTTGGAAAAATAATGCCACTAATCCCCTGTATCATATATCCATTCCAGCTCCCATAGAATTCATTCTCTCCACCAGAGCAAACGGTTACGCCGATGTTCAGCTGTGAGAGGTAGCACCCAAGTGGGCGATAAAAAAAAGGACAAACTGTCGTATTCGGCGATATACCGTACGCATACCAACTATCCTTCCATGCTCTTCAAACCACTGATTAGGGTTGGCTCGAGTACTACCGAATCTGTCTCTCAGAGCCAGAGCCACTTGTTGTTCATCGCAAGATAAATCGATATGTAAAAAATTCTTGAACTCTAGTAAACTTACGTAAGTGTTTACCTTTTTTCATCACTCAGTATAGATTGTTCCACAATATCGACAACCTGAGGACAAAGGAGCGCCCGTAGCGGCCAGTTCTGGATGTACAAAGTTCGATACCGTTAGGATGCGAGGCCGAAGTCAGGCGGGTCTGTCTGGCAGGCACATCGCGCGTTGGCCACATGGAGGAGAGCTCTGAGGAGCCGAGCCCGTTGGTGTAGCGGTAGAAGAAAGCTAGATCGCCGACGACTCGCCGCGCGCCGCTGCGAAAGGGCCCCGAGACTGTCGGTTAGAGAAGCGTCATCTATCAGTCGGACCGCAATCCTCTGGACAGCATCGAGCATAAATAATGTAGTCGGGGCGGCAGCACCCCAAACATGTGAGCAATACTCGAGGCTAGGCCTTATCTGGGCCTTGTATAGAGTGAGAAGGTCATGCGGAGAAAAGTACTTCTCAGCCCTAAACAAATAGCCTAGCTTTCTCCCAGCAGCTGCCGCTATTGACGAGATGTGTTCGTGCCAGATTAAGTCCTCGGTGATCTGGACTCCGACCAGCCGAAGTGAACGGCTCTTCGGTAGAACTCGGCCATCCATCAAAACCGGACGGGCGCTAGGACGCCTTTTTGTTCGTCAAAGTACAGTACTGTGTTTTGGAAGCATTAAACTGTACAAGCAATGATAACCTCCAGGCCTCTCGTCAGAGATTAAGTCGCCGCTAGTCTTCTTCTTTCCAGCTCACCGGCAGAGATCGGCTTGACGCTCTGAATTCCTGCATGTAGAGTGCTGTCATCCGCAAAGCTGTGGATTGTGTTAATAGTACAGGACAAGAGATCGTTTCTATATAAAACGAACAGTGTCAGAGCCAAGGCCGATCCCTGGGGAACACCAGAGTTGACGTCGTGGGATGAAGAGGAGAACTCGTCATTTCCGACGGATATTTTGCACCCAGAGAGAAATTCAGCCACTCATCTGCAAAGCTTCTATGGGAGGCCACAGGATGGAAGTTTGCATAATAGGGCAGACAACGATCGAACGCTTTCGTGATATCAAAAGCAACGACATGAGCCTCACCATAAGACTGGATGAGTTTACTCCACAATTGCGTGGCGTGAGCTAGGAAGTACCCGGTGGTTCGCTGGTGCCTGAAACCATACGATTTATTACCTCTCCATCACCTTACTTATAAGAGAAAGCAGAGCTACAGGCCTGTAGTTGTAAGGGTAGGTCTCAGATCCTTTTTTTTGGGATGGGTGAGACGTGAGCAAATATCCAGTTTTCTGGGAAGGTGCCGGATTCATAAGATGTCAGAAAGAGACGCAAAAGAATTGGAGCAAGCTCCGCTGCACACCACTTTAATAAAACGGCAGCAATCGAGTCCGGATCAGAAGCTTTGTTGATGTCGAGCGGCAAGAGCACCGGTCTTACGATCTCATGCCTGATTATATTACTTCCCGCCTAGTGTGGGGAGGCCTTTCCTTGAAGAAATGTTTGTTTCGCTAATGCAGACGCGTCGGCTGTCTGTTCATCGATAATCGAAATTATTCACGTTTGGATGGAGGAATACATCCCTCATACAGTGAAAGTGCCTAAACCAGGGTCCAACGGCTGGTTCAATAAACCGTGCAACACTGCTAGACAGCAGAAAATCACTGCACACAGAACCTTCTCACAAAACCCTACTGTGAAGAACAGACAAGCCGACGTCGAGTCCAGTAACAAACATAACGAAGCCGTCCGCAATACCAAAGACCAGCACGATGTAAAAGGATAATGTCGCGGCGGAATGGCAGTCGTTCTTTCTAGACGCTAGCCTAGCACATTGAAAGTATCTTCTCACAGAGTAGCCTTCCACTACTTACGTGTCAGGATGGAATGATTGTAACCGATTCAAAAGCCCAAGGCTTGCCAAGATCTTTGCTGCCAACTCCACCCCAACGCCCAAGTGCCGTCGATTCAAATGGTTTCCTGAACTATGCGGAAAATAACTTTCAGCCACAAGACCGTAAGATGGGTGCTCTTGTCGCTCGACATCAACAAAGCTTCTGGTCCGGACTCGATTCCTGCTGTTGTATTGAAAAGGGGTGCAGCGGACTTCTTTCGAGCCTCTTTCAGATATCTTACACTGGCACCATCACAGAAAACTGGAAACTTGCTCATGTCCAGCCCATCCCAAAAGAGTGATCTAAGACCGACCCTTATAACTACAGGCCTATAGCTGTGGTTTCTGTTATAAGTAAGGTGATGGAGAGGTGCATAAATCGCGAGCTTCTGGACTACCTCGAACGTCACGGCTTGATTAGCAAAAGACAGTATGGTTTCCGACACCAGCGATCCACAGGGAACCTCCTAGCTTACGTCACGTAATTGTGGAGTAAACTCATCCAGTCTTATGGTAAGGCTCATGTCGTCGCTCTTGATATCACAAAAGCGTTCGTTCAACTGTGGCACGCTGTCCTCTCAAGCTTCCATCCTATGGCCTCCCAGAGAAGCTTTGCAGATGGGAGGCTGACTGTCTCTGGCCACAAAATGTCGGTCGTGAATGACAGGTTCTCCTCTTCATCCCACAACGTGATAGTGGGGAATTTTCGACGATTTTATTGGCTCAGCAATATGATTTCTTTGCTAATATTGCCATACTTTACGTATTTTCTTAACTGACGAGCCTTGTCTTCTATCCAAATAATTGGAAATCTAAATATATAATTCACCTGGAAAATCATAAACATTGTTGTTCAGAATATACATGACTATCAGTTCTGCACCGCAAGAAACAATCAGAAGGCACAGATGTTAAGTAATAAATTTAGTCGTATATTATATTATAAAATACAGCAATTAATACTTCTGCTCTCATAATGAAAAAGCTCTTATTCCCCAAAGACTCCAAAATTTTCGAAAATCTTAATCATTCGTGATTTCAATCATACAATAGCTTTCCGAACTTGTTAGCACAGCATAGCTACTCAAGGTGATTAGGTCTTTCAATACAATGCCCAGATAAGACCTACCCTCGAGTATTGCTCACACATTTGGGGTGCTGTCGCCCGACTATATTATCCATGCTCGATGACATCCAGAAGAGGGCGGTCGACTGAGCAATGACTTTCCTCTAACAGATCGTCTCGGTACCATTTCGCATCGGCGGACCGTTGGCGATTTATCTCTCTTCTACCGCTACACCAACAAGCTTTGCTCCTCAGAAATCCTCTACATGATGCCGTAGCGCGATGGGCCTGCCAGACAGACCCGCCTGACTCCGGCCTCCCATTCTAACCGTGTCGAACTTCGTACTTAGGATGCCGATATTGTGGAACAATCTACAGGAGGATTCTTTTCCCAGTTCTACTAACCTAAGACCGTTTCCTGATTTGTCGGTGCAGTATCGGTGCGGCGCCGGTATGCTCTGTTACCGAATCAATACCGCATTGCTCCCATCTACGCATTACTCGGTATATTGTCGGTATGAAATTGTGCAATACGGCTTGTTTTGTGGCGAGATGTCGTCTTCGAGTTCGAGTGATGATGATATTTTGGCGTGTACTTAAAAAAAAGAACCTTATTGGCAACATCCTTACACCGAAAATAATATTAACTGTCGGCTATTTGTTGCAGCTAAAGAACTTTCACATGATGATACCAATTTTTTATCTATGTATAGAATGTCAAAAGAAACATATCACCAGCTTTTGAATCTAATAATTATACAACACAGAATACTTTTCAATTTCCAATACTAAAGTTAAATGTATTTTCGCCATTTTGCAGTGCATGTGCGTATACTTGCGGTGAATCCCGAGCGCCGCCTGAACGAGCGTGCCGAGACGCGGTAAACCGAACGGATGCCTCCCCGCTCCCGCACAATTCGCGCTAATCAGGAAGCATTCATTCAAATATAGGCGCTCGGTATCTCGGTAAGCTTTTAGTACCGCGTATACCGAGCATACCGCCGCCGCACCGACACCGCATCGACAAATCAAGAAACGGCCTAAGGCAGCTCAAAAATCGGACTAACAAAGTTTCTTTAGGATCTCATAGCAGCCGCGGTATCCTGACACTTGAACTTCTGCCTGCGCGGCTGCTTTGGTGTAAAAAAACTCTGAACCGGGGTGACTGAAGTTCAGGAAGTCGATCTTTTTGGCTCCGCAAAGAAAAGCCTGCCGAGGCGATTAGATTGCAGGTAGTGATGAACAGCACCAATGTTGCTTTTAATCCCGCAGATGTTCGTGAAACAAATTTTATTATCGATGTCGTACCATCTCGGTCGACTGGTCATTGTCTACCAATATTTGTTTGCGAGTTAATGATTTTAAATAGACCTAAAAGTGGCCCGCTGGCGGACTTGTACCGCCGCCCGGCAATCGATGCTTAACGCGTGTACAATCACTTGAACGGAGAGAACTTGTATACTGAATACAACAACTGGCACTTACAATGTTATTAGATGCATGTTGTAAGTATCGATAAGTTTATGTATCCAGCAGTTAAATATTAATAATACTTACATCTGATTTTTTGGCTAAGGTCTTTGTCTGATCCCTCTTCTTGTAGATACGGATTCTGCAAACAAAAGTGTTGAGTCAGTAGCAGTATAGTTTGTAAACATGGATAATATGAACTTCTGACAGTAAAGGTGCAGTGTCTTGATGTGATCATTTGTTTCTCAGAAGAGCAGTGTCATGCCATACATTTTTTTAAATGTGTAGCTCAAATCGCGCAAGAACCCAACTGGAAAAATAAACAAAATAGTTGTACACCAGAAAATGGCTTTTAATGCATAGTAGCCGCTTTTGGATTTTTTTTTTTGGCACTAGGACATTGCGTCCCATTAGCCAGATCCAATCTTGTATATGATACATCTCTAATTATGGACAAACACACGACGTCACAACATCCATGGCTTCGAAATGTGATTTTCGAAGGCGAGATTCGAACTCGCGGCCGGTCGGCTGATCAGTAGCACGACACTCTGACCCACGCGGCCATCCGAGGTCCCACTTTTGGAATGTGTCTCTATCTTCTGGACCGATTTTCAAAAACTGCAAAGCTCTTTAACATAGTAGTTATTTACCCTATGTACAAATGTTGCCCAAGTCCGAGCAGTTCTTTCCAAGTCATAGACGGGCCAAGGATTAGTGGTCAGACCGAAAAAGAGACGGTATTGAGTTAGATGCTTTTTCGTGATGAATAACATCCAAAGAAACATAATATTTCATTTGCGAAATTTTTCTAGATTAAAATACTTCCTTGCCACTACAGCTGTGTATAATATGAAAATAGAATGAATGTAAGCGTGGCCGTACACATACGGAATTTCTATTCGGAATAACCCAAGAAGATTAGACCAACAAGATACTACGATTCAACCGAAAGCGCCTAATATTCCTGGGCTACAGGCACGCTAATAAAGCACTAAATCTACTTACTTGGTTCCTTCTTAATTTCCCGGATATTTTTCCTGTCGTAAAAACGTTTCGTGGCTTGTAAGAGTTTAATAAAATATTTTTGGAGGATTCATTTTTTACTTCTAACACCTACTGGTCTTGGTTATTTCTGTGTTTCTGATATGGCGTTAAACGCTACGCTCTGACCGCGTTGCCATGTTTAAACCAGTTAAGGCGATGTTGCCAGATGCACTACCGGTAAGGCAGGAAAAGGACTAACTGTATGGACCTGTTTGACTTTTTTCTCAGAGGCTCTAATTTGTGCTGAACATCATCCTTTATGATCCGATAACGGCGTTGCATGGGAAAAGTCAAAATACTTGACGCCATTTTTTAGAAATGACAAGCTGAAGCTTCGTTGGTAATGTAATTTTGTTTAATGACACATAAAGTGCATGTGTACATCACATCATATCAGATATAACGTGATCTGTCTACTATGAATTTATTACGCTGCAGTTTCTGCTATAATAGTTCAAACGCTTATTCTAAAAAAATAAACACCAGCGATTTATGGATAAAAATACAGTCGATATTCCTTGGATCTATACAGTGGAGTAACATTCCTCATTCAAAAAATTTCATCATGTAGGTTGACTTTGCCCTTCCCACGCAACGCCCTTATCAGTTCATAAAGGATTATGTTCGGCACAAACTAGACCCTCTGAGAAAAAGGTCAGTAAAACAGATCCATACAATCAGTCTATAGACGTGATTTCTCTGTGTTACCGGTAGTGCATCTGCAAACTCCCCAGGTACTTACCTCGGTCAGACATGACACCGTGGCAGCGCGGTCAGAGCATAGCAAACACTATGCTGTGGCGCGGCAGATAAACAGGGAACTGGGGGTAGGATTACTAAATGCATTCTAGGGTACACGTTCCTATCTATACCGAACCGCTCTATGTCACACAAAGCGCTGGTTATTAAATTGATGGAACCAAAACAAAATATAATAGAAAAATCTGAGGTTTCAGGTAGCGAGGTAGACAGGAGCAACATGATGGCTGCGACTGTTGTAGCTCAAGTTCAGCGGGTGTGGAAGAAAGAGTTTTAGTAGTCCGGAAATTCGTGTCACAGAAGCTGGTGTTAAAAGAAAAGCTCTACTGTCGACTGCTGGGGAGATTGAGCGAGCTATGCTCAAAAAGAATAAACATTCAGTGGTATATGACCTCATGGATCAGCTGGAAGCACCAGTTACAAATTAGCACGATTTAGTGACATAGTCAGTACTAGCCAGAATATAAGGAAAGAAAAAAGGGATGTGAACGTGCATCTACAGCGTATCGCCGCTTCCTTAAATAAGGAATCGCTGAAGAGCTATCTACGAGTAGATACCGTAAAATGGGGTAAACCTGAAATCCAAAGTTTTGACGCCGATGTACACAAAAAAGAGTGCTATTGATTCAAGAGCATGAGTTTCTATGAAATTATGATATTGATTCGAGATCACAGATACTTCAAATGAGGTAATTTCGTTGTTTTAAAGAAACGTAGCACATACAATTGAGAAATTGACCTTCATTCAAAGATGTATGTCTTAGAAACATACCGAAGTCACGGTCCTCAATTAAAGACTTGAATTGAATTGGATTTGTTCTTGAACCAAGATTACTCTTTTTGTGTGTGTGCAGGCTGAGATGCACAAGCAAGAGGGCGAACCAAAACAAACGAAAACGACCGGAAGTCAAACGAGTTCAAATGATATTGACAATGCCCTGCTGATTCAAGAGCTAGATACAGGACTAGATGACGCATCAAAGCCATGAAAAATTTATGGAGTTGAACAAGGAAGCAGAATGGCCAGAACTATGCTTCCAGATGTCTAGGGTAGTGACGTGGCAAACTAAAGGATGACATTACGCGGATACTGGTAAAAGACACAAATTCGTCGTTACGACAAACAGCAGCGTCGTCTCAGACGTAAATTGTGACGACCTCCATGTTCAGAGTAAAAAGAGCTATAGCTATCAAGGCGGCTGAAAACAACGAGCACGGGCAGCTCTATAAAATGATAGAGCGAGCTCTAACAGTAGTTCAAAGGCAGAAGGTTGCTGAACTCCTGATCAACCCGCTTGGATTCAAAAGCCCTAACTCTTTGACCACGCTGCATACCAGTATAAGGCAAAGGAGAACCAAAGGCAAAGAAGTGCCTCAAATGTGGAGACGACAAACACTTTGCAAAAGACTGCACCAATGAGATGAAGTGCTACGTGTATGTAAACAACAAGCAGCTAACACAGCTGTGATAAAACAGGCGGCGCCTGTAATAATTACAAAGATAACCGACGAGCCTGCTTTATCTCGACCCCAGGTTGTCAGAAAGAGAAAGGCAAGCGAACGGATAGAAGGAACACTCCCACAACACCAAAATAAAGATAATACAAGCAAACTTAAACAGGTGCAGAGCGACACACGATTTGCAAGATCAGTTCGCAAAAGAAAATTCAAATGACGTTGACCTGGTATCGGAGCCGAATTAAAAGATAATAGAAAGAGGCCCATGGAAATCAGATGCAGACGGAGACGCTAGGATGTACAACTAAACAGCTGAAACATCCATTAAGCGAATGCATGCAAAAAAGGGACGATTTGGATGGAGATGGAAAGGATAAAAATGTGCTATATACGAGTATATATTTTTCCAAATATAACAATTGACGTTTACTCAGAAAGACTAAATGAATTGGAAACTCTTATGGACCACAGTATAAAGCAGTACTTTATTGGGGGAGATTTCAATTTGATATCGACAACTTGTTGATCCCGGATTACTGACAAAAGAGGAGAGCTCCTTGAAGAAATTCTCGCAGCAAGGAACCTTGTCATAGCAAGCAAAAGTGGCGAGCCAACCTTTGTCAGAGGAAGCTAAACATCCAATATCGACATTACTTTACGTAGTGAGAGCATGATTGGGAAAATCAAAAACTGGGAATTACTCGATGATGAAAACCTGAGCGACCATAAATAGATGAAATAACATGAGATCCAAAGATGGAAGATAAATGGAGCTAAATTAAAAACATTCCCCAGAAACCTGCAGTTAGCCCTATGGAACACAAAACTGGATGATTAAAGAAGCAAAGTTCTACTGCTGGAGATTGTAGTCATAACAGCATGTGACAACACCTTCGGGTGGTCAACAAAAATTGTAAAGTGAGGGAAGCAAAGTATTGGTGGAATAATGAAATAACACAAAAATTAAATAATACCTAACTATCAGACGTAGAATACAAGAGAAAATAGAAAGTACCATAGATCAAATAAAACGAGGAATAACGTTCTGATCCTGAATAGAGGATGTGGAAAGACTTATCAAATAACTTAGAAACCGACGTTTGGGATTAAGCATACAAGATAGCCTTGAAAAAGCTAAAAAGCATACTGAACAGCAAATACAAATTGCAGAGGGATTGTTTCCGAGATGCTCACCCACCGAATGGAAATTTGAGGAGACCTTGGACATCAGAGTTCTCTATGAGTGAGCTGGAAAGCAGCAACAACGCACTTGAAAACAGGTAAGGCACCAGGACTACCACAGATGAAACACCAAATGAGATCGTGAAAGAGTTGGTTAAAGAGATACCCGAAATCGTGCTGTCTGTGATGAATGATTGCTTGAGAACGGGAGTCTTTCCGAAGAATTGGAAGGAGGCTGGTTTGGTACTCAGCCCTAGACCTCCGAAACCCACAGATAGAGAAGTCAAATGTAGACCTCTGTGTATGTTGAGTTTACTTGGAAAGCTACTAGACCGACTGATAGAAGGTAGGCTAAGAAAATACGTCGAAGGGAAGAACGAGTTGCCTCCTTCGAAATATGGTTTCAGAAAGGGAAGGTCCGGAAAAAGTGCACTTAGTGCACTGGCGCACCTGGCGAAAGTAGCGGATAACAGCAGCTACGAAATATGGTTTCAGAAAGGGAAAGTCCACCAAAGATGCACTTAATGCAGTGGCACAGCTGGCGAAAGTAGCGAATAACAGCAGCTACAGTACTAAGAAGCTTTGTGTTATGGTTGCTTTTGACGCTAAGAATGCCTTTAACTTGGCACAATGGCAGGAAATCGTCTAATCTCTCGACACCTCTAGCTATCTATTGAACGTGATAAAGTCGATGAAGGTAATAATGGGAGTGCCACAGGGCTCCGTCCTAGGGCCGTTGCTTTGGAACGTGTTCTACGATGGGGTTCTTCGGTTGCAGATGCTGCCGGGAATTCGCTTGCTGGGGAATGCTAACGACCCTGTGATGATAGTGACATGGGTAGTGACTAGCAAGGAGGGAGATACACTTGAAGTACTCTTGGCGGAATCGCGAGAATTACCATATGGATGGAACAAAATGGCTTGAAATTGGCTCCTGAGAAGACGGAAGTAGTTATACTTTCTGGCAGACAGAAGCTGACTTCATTAGCTGTTGGAGCTTATAATTCCGTGATTCGGAGCCAAAATGCAATTACCTATCCGGGTGTGTGGCTTGACAAAGATCTGAAAATGATTGAACACATAAGGCGCGTTACTGACAAGGTAAATAAGAGCGTTGCAGCAATTATACGGCCGATGCTATCTCATAGTAGTGAGTGGCGCAGGATTTTGGTAGGGGTGGCAAACTCGATTATACTGTACAGAGCTCCTATATATAACAAGGCATTGAGGAAAACGAAATATAGATAGCTAATATTGAGAAGCCATCGAAAATTAGTGCTGCGCTTGGTATGCGCTTACAGAACGGTGTCGACCGTGCACTGCTGGTGGTCACTGGTATCCCGCCAATTGATTTGCTGGCTGCGGAGGCATGAGCACTCTGTAAAAGTGGATGGGATGCAACTGGCCATCGTGCATGGACCAGGAGGCAGATCCCAGAAAAACTTGAATTGACATGAAAGCGGTGCGGATAGACTACTATTCCTCACAGTTCCTCACAGGACATGGTTGTTTTGACAGCTACCTGTAGATGATAGGAAAGAGAGAGTATGCGAGCTGCGTCTATTGCAATAACGAGGACGATACTCGTAATCACCTACCCGAATGTGGTAAGTGGGCTGACTACAAGACACAGCTTGAACTGACGCTCGGCGAGAGGCTCACTGCTGACAATTTTGTCAGGCATATACGCGAGGGAAAATGGGTTGATATTCAACCAATAGTGAGGTGAATGATGCTGAGTAAAGTTCGGGAGAACAAAAATAGGCCAAGGAACCAATAGTACGTTATTATTTTGCTAGATTGTACATGTACATACATATTAAAGTGTGTATGTGTACGATAGAGAATAGATGACTAATACCTTCGGTATGAAAACCTAACGCGACGCTATCCACTATGAAGAAATGCTGCACGCATTACCGTGGTGGGATGTGTGGCGAACGACTGAGGGGTTTTATTGAGTACCTATGTCATTTCTGGAGAATCTCACATTTCGAGTAGGAAGAGCCGGCAGTGCAATACTGTCGAGTTATTCTGCCTGAGCACCAGCAGCAGCCGTGGTCGGCAGGTACGCGATTCGTCTGTTAAGAAAATTTTACGGCTAATGTACAAAGAAATCTATTATATTTGAAATATGCCTAATAGATGAGTATAATTACCAGTTTTGGGAGAGGATTAATGTACTAACGTCAATACATTAAGATAAACCCTCTCCAGCCCCCCTACTATCACGACCCCCAAGTTTTTCACCTGTAATTTTTTTTTCAAAAATGATCAGGATCCTATGAAACGTCAACGATGTGATTTTCACTTTTTTGTAGGCGTGTAAACAAATCCCTGTACAAAAAGAAGAGGTATATAAGGACACCTTATGTGGTCCAGCATAGTGGAATTTTATTTTGAAATGTTTCTTTGGGGTTAAATCACATATACGTTTGTCTGGCTTCTCGACCATCAACCTGTTGCATTTTTAATAAGCGATTAGTATTTTCACTAGTCGATACCAAAACTTTGGAAAATCACTCTAAAAATGTGGTGGAGTAGTGGCTCCGAGTATTAGTGCTTTCTAAGCAGACCCTTTCATTTGAGAAGGATACAAAACCCTGAAAGACTCTAAGCGCGCGTAGGGATATCTACAAACTTGAAGCATTAAGATTGTCGAACCTCAAAGCCAATTTTATGATTTTTGAGCATCCATAACAACTTGTACCAAACTTAAGTTTCGCTTTTATAGCTCCGCCACCACTGCACCGATTTAATGAAATGAAGCTGCATTATTTGCTACAACAATTTATTAACGTATTCTCCGTACCACTATGTAATACATCGCCTCTCAAGTTCCATCAAAATCAACGCAGCGATTACAGAGTTCACGTGGTGTTAAGAACCGCCAAGAGAGAGACTGACAAAGCGAGGCAAATGAGATAACGAGGATGAGATGGATTTTTATCACGTGGACATCGCAAAATATCAGAAATGCATTATCTAATATTAAAAAATTTCGGAGTTACTCCGCTTTCAGTAGATCTTCATGCAACCCTTTCGATTGCATTGTGAGAAGCTTAAATAAAAAATGACGTCAAGTAGATTGACTCTGCACTTCCCACGCATCGCTGTCATCAGTGCATATAGGAATATGCTCAGTTCATAGACATTCTTTCTCTGGCCTACCTGTAGTGCATCTGGAAACGACGCCTCTCACCGATACCTAACTCGTGCAGACGTGGCACCGTGGGCGTGGTAAATGCGGTTACGTCCGGCCAGATCATAGAAAACCCTATGCTGTTGCTTGGCAGAAATACGTATGATTCCAGAACAGTCATCACGGTCGGCAAACGAGAATCTAAGTTTTCAGTACAATACCGAGAAATCTATGATGTGTGCAAAATGTCTAATAGGTACGTCGAATAACCAAATGTACCAGCATCGAAAAAAGAAATATTTCGCCAACCCCTTACAAACCCCACCCCTAAGTATTTTAGCCTCTCTTTATTTCAAAAGAGATTTTATTTTTCGTTTTAGGCCTTTTTCTCCGTCGCCACTGCCAACATTGTGTGAAAATTTCTTGGAAATCCTCCTCATTTTCGGAAATCTTCGCGATTACAATACTTCCCCGTGAGTAGGTGTGGGAAGTAAAAACGATTTAAAAAAAAATAATAACAATTGAAAATCAAAAGCAGCAAAAATTAATGGGTAAACTTCTCAATATACAGTACTTTAAACGTAATCCACTAAGAATTTCAAAAATCCCTTTAGTGGAACTGGGTTCCCGACGTTCAAATCTAAGATCACTCCACTTTAGGCATGCTTGGAAAGAAAACTTCATTTCGTGCGCTAACAGTTGTTTTACCTCATTTCGCCTTCCAATTCTGGGAACTGACTTGGATGCCTTCAAAAAGAACTTCTCGAAGTCTGAACTGCCCTTGTTGCTTCTGCCGATACGAGGTACACTCTTGGCCTCAGAGAGGAAGTAATTCGGACTCTGTTCCGAGAAAACAAAGTCCCACAAGTGGTGACAAACGAAGAAGAATACTAATCGATTTAGGAACATTTCGTTGATACTTTTGATTTTATTTAGCAAAATATCACGCACTGTTGTTGAATACCAAATGATCATTGAAGGCCCTTATATTTGCCTTATATAGCGATACAGGTCATACAATTAGTATTCGGTACATCGGTGGACCTACAGACTGCGTATGTGCTTTTATTTTAATATTATAGAACAGGAATTGTTTATATTTAACCAAAAATAAAACGAAAAATTTATTGATCGACTTTTCTTACGAATTTTCTATTCTTTGTAGGACAAGGTTTTAAGCTGTAATGCCCTCATATATACATAGATATCAGTCACAGATGTCATACAATGGTTGTCGGTCCCTTTGATCTTGTCGCCAACTATTTGACAACTATCCTACCATGAGCGCCCTCAAGAATTTTCATAGGAGGGTCAGTAAAAACATACGAATGTGCTTCCGAATTTTTTTAAAAAACGAGAAGCAGCGCCACAAGGATGTCCTAGGTATGTGTGAGCCGCCAAAGCTTTTTTAAGAACGTGGTAGTCAAAATTTCCCTGGGGTGGACAGATCTTTCAAAGATCCCACTGAAAGTTATATGATTTTCAAAAGATGTGCTTTCATAGTTACGTGTTATTTGGAATAATACTAACTTTTTCCTGATGATCACTTGAGAAAAATAGCTCTAAAAGGCATAATACTGATGTTTTTATTGCTTGATTAACTTCTTTGAATAATTGTTAGAACGTCTCACAGAGACTGTGACGGTAAGTCCAAACTCAACGTATTCGATTTTACTTCCTACGCCTGCAGACGAGGAAGTATTTTGTTATCACGAAAATGTTCGAAAATGTGGTATTATGTTTTTTTTGATTTTATATGACATGTTCATCACGAAAAAACAGGTTACTCATTTTTGCCGATCTGTCTGTCTGTCGGTCTGTCCGCTAATTTTATAACCGCCTATAACTTGAGAAGAACCTCTCCGACTTCAATGACATTATTAAACAATAACATTTTGTGTACTATGCCATGAATGCAAAGGCTTTGTAGTTTTGGAAAATCGGTCCTGTGGCGGTAGAGAAAAAGTATTAAAACGAAAAAATCACTCATACTTCATTTTTAGAGGTTTTAGGGGACCCTTATCATTATTGAAAAACAACTTAGAGGTAAAAAAAACTTGGGTGTGAGGGTTGTACGGGGTTGGGTAGGGTTTATTTCAATTTTTTGAGGTACATTTGTACGCTCCCAACCTTGGTAATTCTACGCACCTTTCTGACATATTTCACACATCATAGATTTCTCCGTACATTAGACCTTAAAACAAAAAAAATAGACTCTGCATCGCATACCTACCGTCGCGGCTGCTGCTCCCAGCATTGTGCCGCCAGCACTGGTGAATGTATGATTGTTTTGGTATGGTATCACACGTATTTCTGCCGCGCCATATCATAGTGTTTCCTACGCTCTGACGGCGCTGCCACGTGTAACCGAGTATCGGGGAGAGGTGACGTTTACAGGGGCATTACCGGTAGGGCATGGAAAGTCTATAGACTTATTATATGGACCCATTTGACTGACCCTTTTCTTAGAAGGTCTAGTTTGTGCTGAACATAACGTCGCTGCATGAGAAGTGCAGAGTCAACCTACTTGACGCCATTTTTGACCGGATTTTATAAATATACCAACGCCAAGAAATTGATATATATATATATATCCTACCCCCCAACTGCAACTCCTAACCCCCAATTTTAACCACTACAGTTTTGTTGTCCGAAAATGATCAGCATCCTCTAAAACGTCTTTTTAAAATCCGAGCGGTGCCTCTGGAGTTATAAGCGGTTATAAGATTAGCGCACAGACAAAGGGAAATGAGTGACATGGTTTTTCGTGATGTACATGTCATATAACATGCAAAAACATAATATCTCATTTCCCAAAATTTTCGCGATACTTCCCCACCAGAAGGCGTTGAAACTAAAAAGTGTAGCCTGGGGATGCTTTATCAAAAATATTCTATTTAAATGAACATGGACATCATGTTTGGTGGGACGAGATACAATATGTATGCATCTACTGCGTTAAGTGGACACTTATGGCCCGCACTATGAAATCAGTGGATAAGGCGCGAAGCGCCACGCATTCTAACGCACCAGTGGGCATGAAAAAGTTGGTATGCAGAAAACTAATACTGGAAAAACTATTCATAAGTACACTTCACCACATGGACCTAAATAAAAATGCCTACAAAAGTTGAATTAGTAAGTTATATTTCGTTGTCTAAAATCCATGACTATATCTGAGACCTGCAAGTTTTTTATATTCACATATTTGTAGTGATACCCTCATCCAAGGTGTATAAACTCTACACACTTTGCCCTCATCACATAAATTCGTACGAACCATGTGTTTCAAGGAAACAATAGATCCGCGGATCACGTCTTGTCTATGTTTCATAATCATTTAGGTAACACTTCCAGAAATATCAAGGAAATAACCTTCCGGAAATATCATACGTTTCCTTATCCTTGCGTGATTCGGGAAATTGTATGACTACTGTTAGAAGAACATCCCGATTGTATGCTTCGTTGCCTGTCAGAGCGGCTCGTAGGACCTTTGCTCTTGGTTAAGGTATAGTATGCCAAATAGGGCTTTCACGTCTGGTTGAAGAGACAAAGTCAATGAGCATGAACGAAGGAAAAGAAGGAAGAGTATGAACCAGGAAGGGGTCTTAACATTGTCGAATAACACTGATAATATTTAAATTTCACATACATACCTCTCTCACCCCCTGCAATCCCCGTCCCTCCTAAAATACAGAGTGTCCCGAAAATGAAGGATAATCCTGCAACTGTAGAGAGGTAACGTGATGGCCTACTAGATGATAAAATTTTGTTTTGGTAAGCGGTCTAGTTTTCAAGATTTTCAGCAGTCATTTTTTTTAAGAACTGGTTTATATTCAGTTAATACCGTACCATTGCTACAAATATCACCTTTTTTGAACCAGGTTTGTTTTAAAACAGTCAGGATTATCATTTCATCTCGTCCAGTATTATTTTTTCTCAACGTGCCAAAAACCCACATGAAAATCATGCCAAAGTCTACATTTTTATTAAAACCCCTTTTTACATGTGACGTTGACACCCTGCAGAGCAGGAGTTCTGTTTGCATTTTAGAAAGAAAAAACAAAAAAATAAACAAATAACATTACAATGTAATGTTTAATTTACACGCATAAAATTAGAAATTAAATATCATATTCACTTATTCTGTCAACCGCTGTTTCAAAACTCGGTGTCGTCAATCGCAGTTTATAGAAGTTTCGACAAGTCACAACATGAAAACCGCGCGTACCCCCGGCGCGCTCGTTTGAGTGTGTCAAATTATTGTGTCTCACTATTAAAAGGTAAGTTTGTGTATTCACAAACTTCAGTTACCATTTTTATTTAATTTACTAAATTGTTGATTGAGTGGAGAAGAGTTCATAGATCGGCCACTGGGAGTTTTTTAACACATCACAATCAAACCACCGTGGCGAAATAATTTTCAAACGACGAACTTTAAGTACATAATATTGATTCCAAATGTATTTAAAATTAATATTATAATGTCAACCTGCCTACAAAAATATAAATCTCCCGGTGGCCAATATACTGTTGAATACATTAGAGTTGAACAAGATTCTGTTGGTCAGGTATTTTGGATAACCATTATTCGTGAAGAGTGATACAATAGGTGAATTCTTTAATTCACCGGTTGATTCCACCACTGATGGATGCGGTGCTTATGGTTGACACTGTTGACAGCTTTGTATGGTGACGGCAGTAACCGGTTGAATTAAAAGGACAGATGTCTGGTCCACCGGTGGCACCGGTTGCTCAACCGGTGAATTAAAAAATACACCAAATGATACCAAGGTGCTGGACAGAGAAAATTATCTATCAAAACGCCTGTTTCTGGAAATGTCAAATATCTTCATGACAGACAATTGCATGAACAAAAAATGCTGATGTCAGTCAACTTAGCGTCGTCTATGCATATTTGCTGAACTGCAAAAAATTGGAAAAGCAACATATCTCCCCCAACATCGACTTCTCCTAATAATCGCTTAATCTACATAATAATAATTCTTCGCTATCTTAATAAAATCAAAATCAAATTTGCTCAAAGTATTTTGTCCTCAAGTGTGAATATTCCCTACAGATTTCTTAGTTGGTTGGTAGGATAACATCCAAATCACACTCCTTCCAAAGCAACTTCTATCAAGTTTTGAAAATATCTCTGTACTTCATCGGTCAATAATAGCGCAACCACTTGCACTATATTCCAAAACGCCTCACATATTAGGCAACACACTTCACAATCACGAAATAATCGAACCTCATCAGTCCAGTTTTTTGTTCATCGACGATGTGTTCCCTTCACTGTTGTTTAAAAACAATTTCAGCAACAATCTAGCCGACTTAGTAACTATTTTTTTCCTAATTGTTGTTTGTTGCTATTGTCAATAATTGTTTCCAGCTCCAGACGATGAAGACATAGATCTTCGAAAGCTTGAGAGTTTAAGTTATAAGAGTGTACTTTTGTAATACTTTGCCTTCTACCCAAAGAAATTAAAGAATATTTTCTCTTAACAGTAACTATGAATAATATTTATTTATATATATATAAAGAAAATGATCGTGCGCAGAGAGGTATATAACCAAAAGTAGGAAAATATTGGGCAAAATCCGCAAAAAGGAGGAAAGTGGATTCGAGCAGAAATTAGGATACGTAACCCAAGCGATACGTATTTCTGCTAGTTGGCTTCATCAGGCTCGAAATGGATGCACATATGCACACTACAAAAGTAGATACACATGCCCACACATCCGAATACGGGTGTAACCTGAGGAAACGAAGATGGAGAGGAAAAAACAGCACAGGAAGTCCACAACATGAGCCAACCTACACACTGTAGTATAAAATGTCTAGAAGACTTCGAATTTTCAAGGAGACATCTAACCACAACCACGCGGCCGGTTATATACCTTTTCCGCACGATCATTGTAGATCCTTTGGGCTTGAAGTACCACAGCAAGTGGCTATAACCGGCCGCGTGGTTGTGTTTAGATGTCTCCTTGAAAATTTGAGGTCTTCTAGCCATTGTATACTACAATGTGTAGGTTGGCTCTTGTTGTGGACTTCGTGTGTCGATTTTGTCCCTCTCCATCTTCGTTTCCTCAGGTTACACCCGTATCCGGATGTGTGGACATGTGTATCTACTTTTGTAGTTGCACATGTACATTCATTTCGGGCCTGAAGAAGCCAACCAGCGGAAATACGTATCGCTCGGTTTACCTGTCTTATTTTCTGCTCGAATCCACTTTCATCCTTTTTGCGGATTTTGACCATTATTTTCCTACCTTTCGTTTTATATACCTTTCTCCGCATGATCATTTTCGCTTTATGGATCCTTTGGGCTTGAAGTACCAAAGCAAGTCGCTATAACCTGCCGCGTGGTTGTGGTTAGATGTCTCCTTGAAAATGCGAGATGTTCTAGCCATTTTATACTACAACGTGTAGGTTGGCTCTTGTTGTGGACTTCGTCTGTCGATTTTTTTCCTCTCCATCTTCGGTTTCTCAGGTTACATCCGTATCGTATGTGTGAGCATGTGTATGTACTTTTGTAGTTGCATATGTGCATTCATTCCCAGCCTGATGAAGCCAACCAGCAGAAATACGTATCGCTCGGGTTACCTATCCATTTTCTGCTCGAATCTACTTTCCTCCTTTTTGCGGTTTTGGCCCATTATTTTCCTACTTTATTTATATATTATATATAATTGCCTTAACTGTTAGGAAAAGATATCCTTTAATTTCTTTGGGAAGAAGGCAAAGTATTGCAAAAGTACACTCTTATAACTTAAACTCTCTAGCTTTCGAAGATCTATGTCTTCATCGTCTGGAGTAAGTCGGCGAGATTGTTGCTGAAACTGTTTTTAAAACAACAGTGAAGGGAACACAGTCGACGAATAATATATCAACATGTAGTGTAGATGCTTTTCAAACAGAATTTTGGCAGCCATATGGCCACACTCATTATTTTATAAAAACATATTGAATATTCGATCGAATATACTACTACTTAAAACATGCTTATTTTCATAATGTAATGGTTTAAACGTAAAATAATGAAATTATTTGGGGGTTGTATATTTATACGCTTAAAACTCCAGCAATTTTACGCACCTGCCAGTACATATTTCACACATCAAAGATCTCCCCATACATTTGTCCTTATAGCTTAGAGAAATATTTATATACGACACGTGGTTGGTCGGGACAATGCGATGCAACGGGGACTTCCATTCGCTGAACCCTGCCTTGCATCTGACATCATCGCCGGCAGGAATGTTATAGTATCTTGGCTGGCGCTTATGACGTGTTTGACTGGTGTGGTCCAGCAGCGTTGCCAGAAGGTCGGTGCTTTTAGGACAGGAAAGAAACTGGCGTTAGCGTTATCAAATCGGCAGTGACTATGGAGTATGTACTAATTGTACATGGACCTGTTTGGCTGACTTGAGCGATATAATTCTTCTGTTATACATATTTGTAGCTAGATCAAAGGGACTAACTTGGGTTCATCATATTGCTTATGAACTGTTGACAGCGTTGCGTCGGAAGTGCAAAGTCAATCTACTTGATGCCATTTATATAAATGTCATGCGTCTTAGCCCTCTTAACAAATCTCTTAATGGGCACAGGCCCCAAAAATCAACGTATACCACGATTTAGGCCGTCTAAGTCAGTATAATGGGGTGTCGGCTTCACTCAGTTATGTGCTCTATCTAGAAGAGTGGTTTCGGTTAATATGACTGAATTTCTAACTTGAGTGGCAAATAAACGACGGACGCAAGAATCTAATGAAGTTTAACACCCACAAGACAAAGCATTGCTCTTTAAATAACAAGAATCGCACACGTGCACGTCCGGTTTTTATAGTTAGCCGAGCTTTATCAAGCAGACATTTGTTGCGGCTTGTCGGGCTTGTGATGACCGAAGTCTGTTTGGTAAGCTAAAAAGAATAGTGATATTTAAAACTTTTTTCAAACATCTAGGTGGAATTATCAAATGTTCCCGTATTCTCGTGTTAGTGTTAGGTACCTTGGTCGTAACCGTACAGCGATAACAGTTCATCCCCAAAAAAATGTTAAAACGTAAGTTGTAAGAAATTGTCTCTAGTTTACTATATAAAGAGTATGTACGCCATTTTAAAAAACAGTTTTATGCTCCATTTTTCAATGACCACGTAACTCGGTGGAGTTTGAAGCTTTTTTGATGTTCCTGACTCCTTCGTGCTCATTTTCAATAAACATATTTGAATTAAATTACTGTATACTGTTGCACTTCGCAAAACCACAACATGAAGGTATATTAATAGTCCAAGCTTTGATTCCGTAACATTTCCCTGCCAATATACCATTTAGAAATTTTGAAAATTATACAACAGCCTGAGATTTATGCAAAGAGCTGACAACGTTTCACGCACCGCTCGTGCACAATCTGGCAACCATGTTGCATCCAGAAAAGGTGGCGGCTTGACACTGACATACGTCACTTAGCACGAAACACGGGACTGTACCTTCTTCCGTGTATTGTATATGTTTTGTGTTTTCACTGTTAAAAAACAAGTGCTATTTTTGTGGTGGTATTTTTTAAACACATACTTAAAATAGACCAACTAAAGTAAGTTTACTGGCGGCTTGAATCATTATAAAACGTTGGAATCAGGTATGTTACAACCTATCCATGTTATTTTACCATAATTATGCCTAGCTTTAGCTACACCAGCCTTATTTGCTTCTCCGTCAGAATAGAACTAGGCTTGGGGTTGTTAATTATGGAATGAAATTAAATATGTCCACAAATGGGTTATTTGAAGAAGAATGTTTCTATTATCTAGGTTTTTTGTCAGTTGACAAATATCGTTGAAAAACAATGTACCTATATGGATGAGTTTTATTTTAATGTAACACATTTGCATCTTTCAAGTAAAAGTTGAATTTCAACGTGCCTATGAAAAAGAGGTTCAAATTGCAACATTTTAGCTGGAGCATTCCACGTGAAGCGCACACCGAAAAGAAAGAGGTTTCAAAATTCGCTCATATTGGGGCTGTTTGTACATCTAGTAGCTATGAAAGACAAGATAACATTTTTTTCGTGTCTCGTTCATTTCCTAAGTTATAGTGTGGTTATAGGCTTGGAAAAAATCGCCGATCGTGACATTGGAAATTTTTCGAATCCAAAACTCTCAGTTTAGTGTACTAAATTTTCTGTACCTACTTTATGATAAAAAACTAAAATTTGAAAAATGAAAGTATTAAACTGGAACATCTCAAATCAATATTTGGGTATTTATTTATTTATTTATTTCTTGACAAAAAACATTGTATAGGAATTGTCTTAATTTTCAAATATTAAAAAAACTATATCCAACAAAAAACAGTCAAATAGTAAAAAATAAGATTTAACGCATATATCGCAATATAATTTCAATTGCTTTTATTTTCGATTTACTTACTCGAAAATATATCCTAAGGTGTGTTAGTAAAAATATACTAGAAGATTCAAATTAGAATGTGCATTAATTAAGGAGATAGGTGTTTTTATTTACTAATACATGTCACACTGGGTATGATGTTTATGTGCTTTTCTAGTCTAGGTAAACTGTTTTGCAAGATATCTCATTAATAGGCTTCAATATGAGTCTTTTTTAGCTTTAGTGATCCTGTATGTAAATAAAAATACATATCTCCTCAATTCATTTCATTTAAAACTGTATTATGGAGTGAAAAAATCGAAATTACCCAAATTTTGATTTGAAATTTTTATGCACTGTTTAATATTCCAAAGATAGCTTTTGAATTTAGAATTTTTTTTTTGAAAAATCCTAATTTCAAGATATGGCTTTCTTTTGGAAGCCCGTATCTTGGCAAATAAAAGTGATACGAAAAAATATTGTGTTGCGTGAGGGATACACGTCATATGAAGCCAATCCTGTCACCAAGGATGGTGTGGCTGATGGAAATCTAGTGGACATAAAAAATGGCGTAGAGCTTTGGTGCATTGAAAAATGTCAGTATAACCTACCGCAAGGTTGGAAAACAGGATACAGTATACCAGGTATTTCAAATTCGACCCTCACCATTGGGATATACTAAGCGGTAAGAGAATATATACCACACACAAAAAAATGCCACATAAAAAGTTTTGATATCCACAGTATCTGAAGAGGGAAGGAAAAACAGAGTTTTCCTAAATTCGTTATAATTCTTCAAAATAAATTCCAGATTTACTGAAATGTTTCAAGTCAAAGAAGGAATCTGTCATGGAGATCCACTGTGATTGCTGCTCCAGAAAATTATACAAGAAGCCATCATAAACAGGGCTGGTTTAGTATATTACAGAAAGCATCAATGCCCCACCATTTGATGACCTGGTTATTCTGGCGAGAAGTAAAGTGGTCATGTAAACAAGTGAAACATCGACGATAACAAAGGCAAAACAAGCAAAGCTGGAGATATGGGAATGGAAGATTTTTGATCTCAAAATGTTAGATGATGGTATGTGGACACGAAAAGCAAATGATGAGTTTAAAGACCCCAACATAATGGCGGTCATAAAAGCTCAAAGGTTGAGATGGTTGGAACACGTGCAACTAATGGCAGAACATAGAGTACCAAAAGTACCCATTCAATAGGAGGGAAGTAAAGGAGAGGCAGACCCAGGATGAGGTCGAAAACTGAGGAGAAAGATGCCCTGAGGAAATTAAACATAAATGATTGGGAAAGAAGAGCAATGAATAGATAAGAATTGTGAATGGGCCTACTAGGCCTGTAGTGCATGTACAGAGCTTGGAAAACAGAGGGAGAAAAATAATCACGCTGTGAGCAATGAACAGAGAAGAGTCTACAAAATAATGGCCAACATTTTGAGCATCTACTATGATTTTCTTCTTTATTTATTATTATTATTGTTATTACCATCAATAAATTTTTCACATTGTTCAGATTTCAGCATACCTTTTTATTTCCTCAAAATTTTTATTCCAACAACAAATTCATGGCTAACTAAAGAAGTACATCATTAAATTTAGGACTGAAAACTCCATCTAAATGTACGTAATTCCAATATATTGTCCATATGAAAAACAAAGTTGTGATGAAAGTCGAAAGACGAAACCTCAAATTGAAAAATTGACTGCCATAATGAGGAGGAGAAGAAATGACCAATCATAACGTGTAATTTGCTTTGAAATCTCATCTCAAAAATGTTTTTTCATGGTTAGGTGTTAATTTTTGTTTTCATTGGTAAACAGTTTTATTGAGTTTTTTTTGCAGTCATCGTCATTTTTCTCTTTTTTAAGATACGTTTCACATCAAAAAGAAGATGCTTGGCATCTTCACTAACTGGCCCATATTGGGACCAGAGCCCGGAATGCCTGGCCAAAACCCCTAGAGTTTTGGAAGGTGGACCAAACTGAATTTAAAAGGATTTATGCTCTACATTATGAGTTATATGCTTCAATAAAACCACTTTGGAGCCTATTATAAGTTTTTTGAATGTTATTTGAAAATACATATCTATAGCTGGTGTTTCAAATTCGACAATCTTCCACTGGGATCTCGAAAACTGTAAAAAATACGAAGTCGCTTAAAAGGGACAACGTTGCGTGTATAGGTAATTAACAGAATGTTGTTTAGAAAGTTTCACAATTCAAAGAACTTTCGGAGAGAGACAGAAAAAATCGAATTTTCTCAAAATCTTTTAAAAATTTTCTACACTTTATTTGTAGTGGAATTTCAAAATAAAATGCACATTAACATTGCCTCTTATTCTCCTCTACAAGATGGCATAGTTAGAATTTCAATATGATGTTTCATCTCTTGTCCTCCAGTATCAACTTTATTTTTTATCATGGACGCCATTTGGATGTTTGCACAGATGAATAGAGTTTTTAATTCTAATTCCTAAAACGTATAATACTTGATATATTGACATGTTCAAATCTTATTTATTTCAGAAAATCAGAATTCCCTATGTAGACCTTGAAATTATTAGATAGCCATTTGTTTCGCATACCAAAATTATCCCAAAGTCATTTTTATTTTTTCCTGACCATAAGATGGGATTTCATAATAAATTGCATGTTGTCATCTCTACTTATTCTCCTCTACAAGATGGCTTAGTCAAATTTTCAATTCGAGATTTATGTTTTCGACTTTGTATTTTCGAATGGACGATGTATTGGAATTTTGTACATTTAAATGGACTTTCTAGTCCTAAATTCGGTTAATTGGCCATGAATTTGTTGTTGGGTGAAAATTATAAGGGAATAAAAATGTATGGTGAAACCTGAACACAAAATGAAAATGTTACTGATGGTAATAACAATATTAATTATAAATAAGTAGAGATAAATCATAGCAGATGTTCAAGAATATTGTCGGTTATTTTGTCGGCAAAACCTGACTCTTCTGTATACATTGTTCACTGCTCGAATTATTTGCAACCAAAAAATAAAGTTGATGCTGGAAGACCAGAGTCGAAACGTCATATTGAAATTTTAATTATGCCATCTTGTATAAGAAAAAAGTGGCAATGTGAAATTTATTTTAAAAACCGACTACAAATTAAGTCGGAAAAATTAACACGATTTTTGGAAAATTTGTTTTTTTTCTGTCTTTCTCCGGAAGTACTTTGAATTTTGTAACTTTCTAAGCAGCTGTTGGTTAGTTACGTTAATACGCAACTTTGCCACCATTTAAGCGTCGTCCCTGAGATCCCAATGGTAAGGGTCGAATTTGAAACACCCCGTGTATATATTTGATTTTGGATGCAATTTTACAGGTGAAACTTATGGACAGTTTTTTATCGACAGCCAATCCACAAAGTCGATTAAATACTTTGCAAGATAATTAGAAATTAATGAAAAAACGATTATGTGTTTTCCTATTTGATTAGTCAGAATGTTTAAATGATTTGGAATACATAAATAAATACAAAATGCTGGAGTTTAATAAATTCACTATTTAAACATAGAAATATAATAAACGGACACTCAATCAGACACAGGTTGCAGAGATCTTTTATTTTTTCATTTAAAGTTCCAGTGTTGTAAAACTGATTTCTACAGTAAGATGATAGTAGAGGGTCTAAAGAAATTAGCGTCGACTTGAAGACATCTAAATTCGTATCAGGTATGCGATGTTTCTCCCTAAATCTGCGAAAGTTCTTGTTTCGGGTTTCCTGTGCCTCTTCGCTCAACATGCCAGTTGCTCACGGCAGTCACATCAGCTCTATGAATCAAAATTTTATGTGTAACAGCTGGCAGGGGAAACCATGGGTAAGAATTCTCTTAAGTTTTAGCGGTTTCTAATCCAAGCTCGAGCACACGCACAAAAAATTCATTTTCTCTGAAACTGTAAAAAGTCGTCGAAAATCTGTATTTTGTATCCGCTACATGATTTGAGTGACGAGAAAGTTTGTCTATGTTGAGCATTTTTAAATTTCTGTGGATAGTTCACTTTGATCTTAAACAAGCATTGAATAAAAAAGAGGGTGTACACAACAACTGTTACACAGAGATCAAAACTGATCACTTTATTTTCATTAATGATGGAGATTCCTTTCCATAAGTATTAATTTAGTTTCAGATTCGCTGTATTAGCCTCACTCAACTAAACTCAAATGCCGTCCATTAAGGTAGGATATAAACACTCAATAAAAACCTATTTAATAGTAAAATATTTCAGAGCTCTCATATTTGCGATCATTTTCAGTCCCATTTATTTCGTCTACACCCAAAAGCTTGGATCTGAAATCATTTTTTAATCAAAAACGGCTGGTGTAGCTAAACTAGGCATTTACTATTTTAACAATTCACTGTCTTGAAACACAGGTCAACTATTATTCTCAAAGACATTTTAAATTACAGCAAGAAATGACGAGTAACAGAGTGCCAAAAGTTTTACCAAAACATGTACCAAGCGCGGTTTGTTTTCGGATACCTACTACCTCTTATCACATGTACACTGAAGAAATAATGGAAAAAGAAATCATATTCCAAGTAGTAAAGTTGCACCTGAATTTTACCAATGAAGATTCACTTCTGATTTATGTTAATGACAAAGAGCAAGACTACCATGATGATATATGTTTGGCAATGATGAATGAGATTAAAAAAGATAGTCCATTAAGTACTGTGATATTTGGGGGCAACCCTGATATCTTTACAAGGGAAATGTGCAGCAGACTAGCAGAAAAGCTAGGCAAACCAGTGTACTTGAGCTGCAATCTAGATCCTATTTGTGACTTTCTTCCAATAGTTGAGGAAAAACTGCTTGAGAAAATGGTTGAGATGCCCGATATATTTTAATGTGGGATATGTCCAGTTTTAAAAATACCAGGCATTAAGGCACAGATTATTTATATTACGAGATTAATTTTATTGTTTATTATAAGATGGAGGAACACCCGTAAGGCTGCAAAAAGGACTCATTTTTCTTTTACCCAACACACAGCAGGGATAAAACTTAACTATGCTGGACTCTAAGCTAAGTAATTTACCAATAGCTATTACAAATATTAATTCGTTCAACTGAAGATAATAGGTGTATTATGTCTTCTGCAAAATACTTATTTTTTGGTCAAGTAATGTTTTTAATACCACTTATATTCCTTCAGATATTTTTAATGATTGTAATATATTTTTAACAATACTTCATCACATTTTGAAAGCTGGTCAGGAAGTGACACCTTCATGTGAAGATTACAGTGTTGCTATTCATACATCCGGTAACTCGGCACCATATTCAGAACTATTTACACCAACTGATGATGATTTATTTTCACATACTTTTGCTCTCTGGGAAATTTAACAATAAGATGTACTAACTACATACATAATGAAGAAATGTATGAATCACATAAATTAGATCAGCTTTTTGTTTTGCAGTGATGAAGTAGCTGTGCCATTTTCTAATATAGTTTTGCATAATATTCATTTTCTGTGCATGATGTATTTACTGCATGTACATAATGCATTTGAAAATTGACATGTGTTTGTATATATGCCATGCTTGTAATTTTGAATATTTATTACATATTTTGTATCATAGATACAATGATGTTAAAAACTAGTTTTTTTAAACCAATTAAGTTTTTTCACTGTAAATATGAATTTTAAAATACAAGTGCTTTGAAGTGGTATTTTAGAGTTGAATTTTAGTTAAGGTGGCATATATCTACAAGTACATGTTTTCACTTGATAGGAATTAATCATTCTATAAAGTTTGGTGAGTTATGTATCACAAAACACCTAGACATACATCTAATGTTTTTGGCATTTACGACACAAGCATCTTCAGCAGGTGTGGCTTAATACAAATACGTAATAGACTGGGTACTGAAGATCTCGAAATTATTATTTTTTATTTAAAATATTCAATACATCTTCAAATAATGAAGATGCCTGAAATTATATCAGTAAAATATACGAGTATTACTATTTTTTTTTATCAGGGTTTATCTTAAGTTCTAATATAAGAGTTATTACTTTCTAATTCTCAGGTATGAATGCCAATGAAAAAGTTATACATTATGTTTGTGTTTTTATGTAAATATGTGTTTAGTTGCCTTTAGACATATTTTTTTACTACTTTTCTCATTACCTGCTTCCACCTAACAAAGAATGCTATCAACCTGCTACATACATTGGTTAACGGATGTAAAGCTAGTTTTTTGACGGGGCGTCAAAAATAAATTGTCTAAAAGCAACTATATAATTATATTTTTTTGTCAATTTCTATTAGTCTCCAGATTGTTTAAACCAAATAAATTTGGTTTAAGCCAAAAAAATGCCTTAAATCAAAAAACCTTTTGTTTCGATTTTTTTAAAAAAACCTGGTTTTTCACAAACCCTGTTTTGGTCAAATGTATTAATGCATAAATATCCCTTTTGGAGAAAGTTACCATTTTGTCAAAGAAAATATTGATTTTTGATATTCAATTTAAGAAGAATTAGTCTTGGTTGAGTTAGTATCCATGATCGTAGTTCAAGTTTGAAGTGTTTTCTGCATTGTATGTATTTTATGTTTGTTGGAATGTTATAAAATTTTGAGGCTAGAAAGTAATATGATCGTTGGCGTATAGCTATATATACACTAGGTATTTTGTTGATACTTAAATCGTGTTTGATGAGTGTGATTCATAGATCGAACTAATTTTGGGCGTTTAGTTAAATAGTTGGGACTTTCCTTTACAGAGCGTATAGGTCAGATAATAAGCATGTTTTTTTAGTAACATAAATACCAAATCGGCTCGAGTCGGGTTTTGTCGAATTTTTATTACTATGAGGATAATTTAAAAAGATGTTGCAACCTTAAGAAACGACTGAGGCACGGATGATCTCGAAATTATGTTGTTCTGTGATTGATATTGCCGTAAGAAGTGTACAGAGGTCTGACAAAAAGTGTATAGAGGTACGAAACTCTATGCACTTTTTCTGGCATTAGTGTGATAGGTTTAAATGTTTAGCTGTACCATGAAGAAAACATGTAATTGTGCTTAGGGTCATGTCGGCAACTGTGGCTTAATTATTTTTTTTTTTTTGAAGGCTACAACATGAAAAATGTAAATCAATATGACATTTTCAGAAAATGTATAGGTAGCGTCTTTATTAAACTTTATTTTGCTCTAGACGTATTTGCTACAGCTGTTCCTAAAAATGCATTAGATTTTTTTTAAGTTTGTCATTGAGTCACTGTGTACTACTACCTATTTAGAGTGACTCACGAGATACAGTTTGGACAACAGCGATCGGTCACGTGCTAGGCAGAAAGTCTTCGTATGGGGGGGGGGGTTTGGGTAAATGATTAAAGTACCTAAATGACATGTAAAAGCTTCTTGGAAATAAATATCAAATCAATTTTCTCATAATCATTTAATATTTATATATATTTTTAAAAATGAGACAATGTTACAGCATTAAATTTAACCGTCTTGGTCGGGAGGATATTTCGTTCATAACATCATCTACTGAAATGGCTTGATTTGAGTGGGCCGACATCAAGGCCAACCCGGTTAAACTATCATTCCCCATTTTATTGCTTAAATATGTTTTTACTCGTTTTAATGTTAAAAAGGATCTCTCAATACTTGCGGTAGATACAGGGAGCGACGCTAACAGTTTTAATAGTTTGTATATATGTGGATAAAAAGCAGCATCGCACTTAGCTGAGACTTCTATGCTTCTCTTTCCATTGAAGTTTGTTCAGCATTTTCCACTGTTCAGCCCACAAGTGATATTTGCTCTCCAATGTGACCTCAGACACATCGTCATGTAGGTAAGAAAGTAGATTCGGAAGGTTCAGCGCATTATCGACACGTATCTTATGTGGCAATAACATTTCCAGCGTTTTCAAAATTTGCACAATGTTCCCTCCAAATCGGCTTTTCAGACTTCCAAGAAGGTCATATAGACACGAATGAAAATGCTTCTTTAAAATATTCCATTGGCGAGTCTGCTGGATAATTTTTTCTATGTACTTGTCTGCCAGTTATTCGTGGCATTGTCATATATTCGATGCCAAAGAGAGAAGGAAATATGTTCAACTTTTTTTCTTTTTACATTCTTCGTTTAATGTATTGGTTCGCAGATTTTTAATATGCTCTATGGCACTTTTTTCAAAAGTAAATGCAGAGCATATACCATGTTTAGGAACTTTGCAAATACTGAGACAAAGTCAATGTAAGGTAGGTGCGCCAAATATTGCAACCTTAAGGTTTGGTTGTAAATAAAACCTACACTGTTGTTAATAAATGAACATAGATTTGGGTATTAGTGAAGCAATGTATTGTTTCTAATAATATAACATGACTATCTTAAGAAACTAAGCAGAAACAAAATAAAAAATACATTTTCATTATAGTTGCAAATGGCAATATTAGGAACAGAGCGTTCCTAATATTGCCACCGATGTCAATATTAGGCACGAAAGAAATACAGTTAAAAGTAATACATATTTCTGAAAAATGTAATTTAACACGTTCGCTGCCATACAAACTACAAAAAACTCTTTGAGAGGCCAATATATTTTTTCGAAAAATCATAAAGCCAAAAGTGTTTTTAGCGATCTCTTATATATTATGTTTGTTTGTTCTGTGTATTGAGTGTCAAAACTACAGTGACTCAAGGGCTGAGTCATCGGCCTCTCAGATGCATTTCTACAAGTAGAGGCCGCATGACTCAACATTTGAGCCATACAATGAATTCAGTCGAATTTTCCAAACACAAAAGGAAGCTAGGTAAATATTTAGAACAATGTATTTCTAAAAGGGTACAAATACAACATCAATAAAACAAAGAACATAAATGCCAAAGTTAAAATTAAGAAAATAGAAGAATAGGTGATATTTTTCAAAAAAAAAAACACGTCAAAGTTTTTTTTCTAAAACGGTACAAGTCAAACATCAGTAAAACCGATACCTAAGTATAAACTAAAAAAACGTAAAATAAAAATACAAACAAGGAAACTAAACTTTGGTTTTTCCTTTATTGCAGAAACTAACATATATAGTATTCACGAGGATATGGTATCCTAACATTAGAACTACATAAAACGCAAAAAGAGTAAGTGGGCACTTACTTTGATGTATGATACAATTGGAAACAGTTTCCAAGACATAACCCTGGCTTGTCTGGGCAAGCTGGACAAAAAAACGGAGTATTTTTGCGCGATTTATTTTCATAACACACTCTACACCTTTTTCTCATTTGTCGTCCTGCAGCATCTAACTGGTATTTTTCAGGCAAATGACAAGCTGTTTTCTTGGGACATGGATCAGCCTCAGGTTTATCTTCTTTTTCTGACAATAATTTTTCTATAATGTTGTGTCGAAAGTCATAGTAGTCATAGTTTAGTTTTTTCTTGGTTGAATATTGGTTATATAGGTGATAACTATTGAAAAGCATCATTGATATTATATGAATACCCATCTTTTTGTACCACCTAATGGTTTTTCGTTCACTTGCATAATACGAAAGCATCTGGTCTTGGCGATCTATTCCTGACATGTACTTATTGTACATAATGATCGCTTTGGGTTTTTGCTTACTTTCTCCTCGTCTATTTTCCTCTTGCACCATTTCACCATCGAATTCTGTAGAAATGAATAACACGTCTCTCTTGTCACGCCATTTCCCAACTGTAACTCCACCGGAGTATTTGCTAACAGTTTCACCTCTAGCTAATCTCTTAGAAGTAATTTCAGATGGATTGCCCTTCCTGTTCGCTGTTAGTGTTCCAGTCACGTAGGTTCCCTTCAAAAGTAGTTCCTTGGCCAAAGCAATACTATTGTAATAGTTGTCCATATACAATGAGTGTCCTCTTTCAAGATATTTTTTTACGAGACAAAGCACAACATTTGCAGAATGTCCCAATTCCCCCTGCATGTCCTTTTCGCCCCCAGTATATATCCTCACTTTCAACACGAGACCATTAGGTTCCGATAAAATATATAGTTTCACACCAAATTTGTGCTTTTTATTTTTAATATATTGCCGGAAAAGCAATCTACCCCTCCACAAGACCATCGACTCATCTAGAGACAATTGTTTATTCGGGTAGTAAATCTCATCCATTCTTTGGTTGAAAAAGTCTTGTAGCCATCTAATCTTCGATAAACGGTCATCATATCCTGGTTCTCCTCTTTCAGGATTTTTGGAAAAATGTAGACACCTTAGAATCGTCAAAAAACGATTTCGGCTCATATGGTTCCTAAAACATTCGAGATTATACAACATGTGAGTTTTCCAATAGTCCTGCATCCGGTTTATTTGTATATTGCCCATATGAAGCCATAACCCTATGAAAACTTTCAATGTTGAAACTGTTAAAGGCTTCCAGTCGGTTATTCTTGACTTCTCCCTCGTGTTTTTGCTCAAAAACAATTGCTCGGCGTATCTGTTCGTTTCAACAATGATATTTTCGAGAAATGTGTTCGTAAGAAATAGATTGAAAAAGTCAATAGGGTCGTCAGATGCTAAGTTTTCTTTTAGTCCAGGGTTGCCGGAAAATGGAAAGTCCTTTATGTCTGGGTTATCGGCCCACATTGGAACCTCAGAGCGATCACCTTCTTCGGAGGTTTCAGGGATCATAGCATGCTCCCAAATCTCCTCTTCTTCGCTTGAACTCGTATAATCAGGCTCATACTCGCTGCCACTGTCTACAAAAGGTTCCTCGTCACTTTCTGATAAGTATGCTAATGCTTCTAACTCCGAATCACTAAAAAATTTCCCTCTTTTAGGACCCTCCAACTTTCTCTTCGGTCTAGATGGCCCTGGAATTTCGCTGTCCATTGTACACTGAAGGCAAAAACGTAACTTCAAACCAATCGCGCAAAAACACGTGTTTATAAGTCAATAAAACGCCGGCGTAATATGCTGCTACCCTTTCAGTAACCGACGCACTACTGGCTGATGCAATAACCTATCGCACATGACCCAACATTTGAGTCATCGGCTTCTGCCGGGAAGCTGCTGTGACTCAACAGTTGAGTCATCGGCAGTGAAGGTGTTAAAAACAAGTAAGCACAAAAGTAAGAAAAACTAAACTTATGAACATTGAGGGCAAACAATTTTTCCTTGTTATCTTTTGTCGGTCGTACACAGGCCTCGTGCACATATCTAAAGCACACTATGCACAAGCGCATATCTTCTTTATTGTTGGTGTTACAAAGAAAGCAAAACCAGGATTCTTCTTTCCTCGATTTATTTGTCGTACTGCTTGTTGGTTTTTTGACAACTTCGTTTGGATTATTCGATTTTGGTGTTGCCGCGAACAAATCTTTGGTAACTTGCAGCGCTTTACTGTTTAAAGCTGGCTTTCTCTTCACGGTAGATAATTTAATTTCCGGTGTAATCAGCAATCCTGTATCTTTAAAGGAATTGTCTAAGCATTTGGAGTCAGAAGGTCTTACTTGATTAGACGCCGGATTACATTTTGTTGTTTCTTTTGTAACCGCATTTTTTCCTGTCCATTTTTTAATTCAATCAGTGGAATGTCATCGTCAGAGCTGCTGATCCTTTCGCATCTGTCGTCAAGTATGTTTCTTAATCTGTTTCCTATTTTGGTTAAACTTTTGTAACGTGGCAGGCTTCTTGTTCAATCTTAGCACGGGTTGCTTTTAGCCAAGCTTTAGTAAACATTTCTCCAAACCTCGATTTTGTAATCGCCTTGCCAGAGTTTCTCATTAAAAACTGTAGGACTTCTTGGTCCCAAAACGCCTCAAAGCTTTTAAACACCGATTTATCCATGGGTTGCAACTCATGTGACGTGTTGCTAGGAAGGCAAAATAAAGTTATGCCCAAGTGGTCAGCTGCATCAACTATAGAAATATCAAGATGACTTTTAGCTCCATCAAATATCTGTAAGGAATCAAGAAATACGATACAAATGCTTCGCATGTCTACTACCTTTATTTGTGACAATAGCTTGTGAGCCAGGGGGCATGTGATCAGCTTTAAGTCTTTGACCTTTAAAAAGCACAAAAGGCGGTACAGATTGACCAAGCGCATTTCCACAACCTACAATCGACACATTTCCTCCATGTTCAGGTGCCGTCAAATGTACCCGTTTTGCTCCCTTGTTAGCCAAAACAATTTGTTGCTTATGAATTGTCAATCTGCATCCTTTTTCGTCCATATATATGCTACCTTGTTTGTCAAATAGGTTTCGAGGGTATCTCTCAATTTATTAAAATAGTCATCGACGATTGTCTTGTTCATTTTTTGGGCTCGAGCCATATTCATCTGTAGAGCTTTTCGCATCGCTACGTCAGGATGTCTGCGCAAGAATAACTGAGCCATTTTCTACCAGCCCTTTCAGACTGTTGAGAAAACGAATTTGGTATGTCATTTTTTGTAGCAAAAGAAAACACACTTTTCACTAAAATTTTGCTTGTTATAGGCATTCCTACCTCAGCTAATCTGTGAATTCTTACCACGAGATCATTTTCTTGTGCTGTAGATAATGTTGTCGACCTTCCAAGTTTTCTTACGGGATTTTTTGATTTATGATGAAGACCGAGTGTTGAGCGAAGAATGTTGTAATGGTTGCCAGTACCTTTGATGGACATTCCGTTTGTTATGGCTTCCAACGCTGAACGCAGGTCCTCCTCTGACCACATCTCGTTTTCTTGGCATTCTGAAAAAGATTTTAATATTTAGTCCCCAATATTGCCACTGGCAATATTGGGAAAAAAGCACGTGCAAAAAATTTCTAACCTAGAATTGCATTTGAAATACTTGATGGAATTCATAAAATATAAATTACTGCACTGTACTTACCTGAACTTGATTACAAAAATCGAGAAAATGTTAATGTAGCTTGCGTGGGGTCATCAGGAAAAGTAGGCGAGCTTATAGCGCGAGTACGAAAAACAAATGGCGTGCTCCTGATGGTCGCCCTAAACTAAAACCGCCAAATAGTAGACAAGTCGCTGCCAGTCCAAAAGACTTGCTTCTGCTGCCACCTTATATGCAGCGTCGATAGAGTAGCGGCGCTTTTCTAAAATAAACAACTTGCAACAAAACCGCGGTTAAAACCAACGCGTTCAAGCGATTCGTGTAACTGACGTCATCAACCCGTGTGTCATCTTGAACCATATTATAACCGCGGCACATAACAGAAATTTTGGTTATTCGCTTGGATTGATTTATGTGAGTCAATATATCGAAACCAGACGTTGCGTGGTGTTTAGGTTAACCTGGTTTATAAACATACCACATTTGAAATACCGAAATTGGTACATTCCTAGAGCAATAACGTAGTTATCGATTAGATATGAGCATCTTCAAGACGGGTGTACTCAGAACGTCGCCTTCTGCGATGTTTCTTTCCATCAGAGCCGCATATGTATGTTTAACATTTAGGAAGAGGTAAACAAAATCGTGCTTTTGAATAGGACAGCAACAACTAGCAGTGTATACTACAAATAACACAAACATGTGACAGGGCAGTACTTGAAATTCCTTACCAAATGAATAGTATTTTTGTTGTTATTTTTACGCTTTCGATGTTTTTTGCTAACCCTGAAAAGGAAAGTCCCACTTTCAGGACACCATGTATGTGATGGAAAAATAAGATTGTTGGGAGTTCAAAAGTTATGATTCATCATAAATATTTTCTGTTGCATGAAATTTATCTTTATTGAACATAATCATTAAAATCCACTTCTGACCAATTTCGACTATTTTACAGTAATTATTGATGATTCCTCCCCATGCTAAAATTCCGTGATGTAGAATTGGGTGAACGATGGGTCGATAATCCATATATAAAGATATTTTTGGCTCAAAAAACTACTAAAATTTTAATTTTTTCACTAAGCTTTCAACATGCAAATTCGATAATATATCTATAACTACTCCTAAGTACTTGATATTAAATGATTGTATTTGTCTCATGTTTGAATTTGGAGTCCATTGAAATTTAAAGATCTATTGCTACAAGAAAATTTAATCTATAGCTACAAGACAATGTAATAACACAAGCTTTGCTAAAGTTAATTGTCAAAATTAAAAAATCGCCGTGTCATCTGCAAAACCTATAATTGCTATATGAATATTCAATTTTAAAAGGTCATTAATATATAGATTAGTTGTTGTTATAAAAATAAGCTTGCGGGAAGTTCAAAAGTTATGATTCATCCTAAATATTTTCTCTTGGATAAAATTTATCTTTATTGAACACTTCTGAACAATTTAGATTAGTTTACAATAATTAATAATGATTCATCCCCATGCTAAGATTCCGTAAGGTAGTATTGGGTGAACAAGGACATGTATAGATATTTTTCACCAAAACACTACTAAAATGTTTGAATTTGAGGATAAGGCATTTTAATTTTCTCACTTAACTCTCAACATGCAAGTTCCATTCTAGATGAGTATCTATAATTACTGCTAAGAACTTGATACTAAATTATTGTATGTTTTTGTAGATGCCTGATGTTTGAATTTGGAGTCAATTGAAATTTGAAAATCTATTGCTATAAAAAATGTAATAAAACATGTTTTGATAAAGTTGATTGTCACAATTAAAAAAATCGCTGTGTCATCCGCAAAACCAATAATTGCTCCATCAATTTTCAATTCAAAAGGTCATTAATATATAGATTAAATTGAAGCTCCGCATCTGTCATGTCAACACTTAGTTTATTATCAATAGTAAGTTGTCCTCGGAAATCCCAAATTCTTCAGGTAGATAGGAGTTTTTCATGTGTGGTGTCAAAAGCTTTGGCTAAATCTACAAAAACAAGCGGATATTCTTATCAAGGTACTTCTAAATTTTGGTAGTTAAATTAATACGTTTTGGGTTGACTTCTCATCTATTAATCCATATTGCTTGGATATAAGATCATATTTCGCAATAAAATTTAAGACTCGTTTTTTACTCTATTCGCAAATTTCTGAAATATTGAATAAATAAATTGGTGTCAGATACATCGAATTTTACGATATAGTTTTGGTATATGCAGGTAGTTTTTCTTTTGAAATATTCCCTTTGCCAATTTTTCACCTATTTGTTTGTGTCAGTTTTCCATTTCATTTTCAACAGAAGGAATGTTTTTTTTCGTTGGTTGCATTTTATGTATGAACGTCTTTTTCAAGTACTTCAACTTTGCTGCGTTTATAATTTCAGCTAGTTGCTATTTACATACTTTAAATTGATTTAAAAGTTCTAAGTCATGCGGATATTTTTATATCATTTTATTTTTCCTATCAGTAGATCTTACAATGCCATTTGATATCCACCGATGCCCTTAAAAATTTTTTGGTATTTGAACATGAATTTATGTGATTTTGAAGTCCTGCAACAGAAAGACCGAATGCTTTTTCTGGATCATCTTCACTATACCTGGTGTCGCTCAAATGGGGGCAAACTTGCGCATTTAGATAACTAACAGAATGTCACTTAGAAAGTTTCTAAATCAAAGTACTTACGACGAGATACGGAAAATGTTTCCCTAACTTTATTTGTAATGGAATTTCAACTAAGGTTTGGCAGTGCAACGTACTGATACATTTTTATGCCATCTTGAAGAGGAGAAACAGTGGCAATGTTAATGTGCAATTTATTTCAAAATCCCACTTCAAATAGAGTCAAGAAAAAAATGAAAACTATTTTGGGAAACTTCAGTTTTTCCGTCTCTCTTCGGAAGTAGTTTGAATTTCGAATCTTTCTTAGTGGCATTTTGGTTGTTACCTAAATACGCAACTTTGGCCTATAAGCGAGTCCGTATCTCCTACCTTTTCTGAGATCCCAATAGTGAGGGTCGATTTGAAACACCCGGTATATACAGGGTTCGGCAGCATAACCTAATAAAACTCATTCTATGAATCAGGATCTTTTTTGTTTTTGATGTAGGCGCATGCCTAGAGTGTTGTTTTACAGAGTTTTGAAAATCAGATAGGCGACGTCCTCCATTCTCTATGCACTTAGTAAGTCGATTTCTGGCTTTGCACCCCGCCTTGTGGGAACCAAATGGCCCCTAAGTCCAACTCATCTAGCAGTGGGAAAAGATCGTGTAACATGCTTACATACCGATCTGAATTCATTGTCTACGACTTTCCTCAAAGAGCCGAGGACCAATAAATCCAGGTAAGCAAATTGCACACCACACTGTGACTTTAGGTGAATGCAAAGGTCTTTGATGCAATTCTCGAGGATTGGTGTCAGTCCCCTAGCGCATGTTTTGTTTGTTGAGGGATTTATACAAAAAAATGGATGAAGTTCCTGCACAATAGCCATTTTTTAAGGGTGGAAATGATCATCATGAAGAATTGTCCTCACAAAACATTTGGAAACCTCAATGGCAGACGCATGTTTGCGCGCAGGACGCGGTGGTGTCCTAACCTTGCATCAATGTTTTCAGGGGATCTAATGGGCCGCACTTGCAGTTTGTCTAAGTCACAATTGATTTGCGGTGCGGGACAGTGGTCAAGTGCGCTAAATTAAAGCGGTTCCGAAAGGCGCGCTGTTCCAACGCATGATGGCGACCCAACTATGTCCTGACAAAGCTTCATAGTCCTCTCGAACCAGATTACTAACGCTCCGCTATGACATCAACCGACTGAATGGTGCGCAATTTAACAAGAAGTTATGCTGCCACACCCTTATTTGGGCAATTCTCATTAGTTTTTGTGCTACGTTGTACATTTTTCAATCTAGGGAATGCTTCTTCAATGTGAATCTCAAGCATAGTAGGGCCCGAAACTGTACCTATACTGTAAAGTTGCTGTGTAAATATTTTCATTTTTCGCTTCAGAATGTTTAAATATATGATCAATAAATACATCTACTCTCACCATCCAACTTTGTAGTATCTCATTTTTTTCAATTAATTCCAAATTGAATCATCATAAGGTATGGATGGTGACTTCTACACTCCCATAATTTGAATCTGTGTTTGTTTCAGTTATACCTACATGTTCGAACTTACAAATTAAATTTTGTATTACGTATATTATGTCATCATTTTTATTAGAATTGTCTAAGTTATAGTATAAATAGTAGTTTGGAACTTGGGTTATAATCTCTAATGTATGTCTCCATAACCTGTTCCTAATCTATATTGATAATTCAAATAAAACTGATTTTTCTTTTAATGTTATGAAATATAAACGGGGCAAGATTTGTCATTAGCATTATAATGAATATCAAGTAATCATTTTTATCAGAGTATGCAAGTTATACATGTCACTGTAGTGTTCTTACAATTTTTGATAGAATAATTCCCTGTACATTTTTGCACACATTCAGTTCAGACTTGCAGTGCTTTTTATTTGCTGTTGTCGATTATGTATTTTCTCCATCCAAGGTATCTAGATGAATTATCTTTATATTATGTGTTATCTGATGCCTGGGAAGTCTTTAGGACGATACTGTTAATTTTCAATGATTGTAGGATGTATCAGACAAATTGTTTTTTTTTTTGTTAAATATCTTGGTTAGCGGCATTTTTCCATCTGGGGCCTCCTTGCCTTGCTTAGTCGTTAACTTATCTTTCTTATTTCTTCAGGAACGCACCCACGCGACCCATTTATGTTATATCAAAAAAATCACACTCCATAATTAAAAATATGTGTTTCCAAATTTATGGGTTGGGGAAGGTACAAAAACAAACACAAATTATGATTATAAATTGTAAGAGTTCTATATATATATACCATAATATGTCTTGGTGTTGTATTATGACTGAGTTTGGGCACAGATATAGATAACACAGTAAGTGCCGAATGCTTACTTAATTATTACTTCACTTGATGTCTGTTCGTATTTCCTTGACAGTAGAATGTAACACGAGAGTTGTCAAATATCTTGATTAGTTGCCTTTTTCCATCTAAGGCTTCCTTGCGTTACTTAGTTGTTAACTTATAGCCGCTTTACACAATCAAATACATTCACGAATAGATTGTTAGATAAATTGATGAATTTCTTCGAGGTAACAGGAAGCGAAATTATATGATCAAATTTAATCAAGTCAAGCATACCAACACATATAGCAACTTCCTATAATACTAAACTAACTCAGGGAAAAGTACCAAAACATAGCCTATGTATAATGAACTTAACCAATAAAAAAATGACTATTCTTACATATTAATATTATATACATAGAGTTCTATAATATAATATATAGT